CGGGTGGCGACCAGCAGGCGCCCGCGCGATCCGGCCGGAAAACGACTGCAGCTTGGCGGCGCCAGCTTTGTGGCTGGGGAGAGGGAGCGCGGCTCAGAGCGCACAGACATCACCCTCCTTCCCAAGCTCATCTGCTGTTGTTTCTTTCTTCCTTCCTTCTCCCCATGCTGCCTCCTCTCCCGGCCACTCGCTGCCGCCTCCAATCTTCATTATCTCCCAGTCCCACAGGGGCCTTTCCTCTTCCGCTGCGCCCAGACCTCGTCCTTTGCCAGCAGCCGCCAGTCGCGCACGGACGTCTCTGTGTGGCTCGGGGAGCTGCAGACGCACAGTTGGAGCAATGACTCAGACTTCGTCCGGCCTCTGAAGCCCTGGTCCCGGGGCACCTTCAGCGACCAGCAGTGGGAGATGCTGATGCATACTTTGGGGGGTTATCGAAGCAGCTTCACCAGGGACATAAAGGAATTCGCCAAAATGCTACAAGTAGCCTGTGAGCTGAGGGCCGGGATCCTGGGCCGGTTCCCAAGGGGAGAGAGTGGACGCAGAAGCTCAACTGGGAGACTGTGGCCTTACCTCATGAGGTTCCCTGCTCTCCGCCCTCTTCTGATCTCCACTTCTGTCAGGAGATGTCCCAGCCTCTGACTCCTCCCGTTCCTGCCTGCTCCAGGTCACCCACTCTCCTTTCCCTGAACTCTGGGTCCCCATGATAACCTCCACACCCATTTCTTCTCTTTCACCCCTTCTAGTCTCTTAAACCTTTCTTTGATCTCTATTTCTCTCCGCAGATCCCATTGAGCTACAGCTGTCTGCTGGCTGTGAGATACACCCTGGGAACACCTCAGAAAACTTCCTCCATGTAGCGCATGAAGGAAGAGAGGTCTTGAGTTTCCAAGAAACTTCTTGGAAGGCAGCCCCAGAGGCCCCAGACTGGATAAATGTGGTTATCAGGGTGCTAAACCAGGACCAAGAGACGAGGGAAACAGTGCAGTGGCTCTTGAATGACACTTGCCCCCAGTTTGCCAGTGGCCTTCTTGAAGCAGGGAAATCAGAACTGGAAAAGCAAGGTGCCTGCCTTCCTATCCCGTGTACTCCATTCCGGGTCTCCAAATGGGCTTCTTTATTCCAGGGTTCTGATTCATTTGAGCATTCCCAAAAGAGAAAGGCCCAGGAGGGAATAGATAAGGTGTGAGGGTTTTTATTCATTTCACAGACATTGACAGAGCATTTTTTGGGTTCTATGAGTTTAATTAAATAAACACTGGGGGGCAGAGTTCAAAATTGAGGATCCCTACCTGCAGGGTTGGATGTTAGTTAAAGCAATGTTTGAAACATGATACACGTGTTACAGCTGAACAAAGGGTGTTACAGGAGTACAGAGGAGGGGCAGACTGGGAGTAGAGAAGGGGAACCAGTGTCAGGGAAGGCCCTCCTGCACAAGGTGACACTAGTGGATGGAAGTCACAGGAGACTTCATTTCCGGAGCTGGACATGTGGGGAGCATGAGCCTCTAAGGCAGAGTCCTCACATCAAGATTCCCCCATTCCCTTGTTGGATACAGTGAAGCCCAAGGCCTGGCTGTCCAGTGGCCCCAGTCCTGGGCCTGGCCATCTGCTGCTGGTGTGCCACGTCTCAGGATTCTACCCAAAGCCCGTGTGGGTGATGTGGATGCGGGGTGAGCAGGAGCAGTCAGGCACTCAGCAAGGGGACATCCTGCCCAACGCCGACGAGACGTGGTATCTCCAAGCAACCCTGGATGTGGAGGCTGGCGAGGCACCTGGCCTGGCCTGTCGGGTGAAGCACAGCAGTCTAGAGGGCCAGGACATCATCCTCTACTGGGGTGAGGAAGATCCGGGGTCCAGGCTGGAAATGGCACGAGGTGGGGGGCATAGAGGAAGGCGCCAGGGAAGGATGGGGCTTGACGCACCCAGGATTGAGAAGTTTGAGATGAGACTTCCAAACAGGAGGAATAGACAAAGGGGGTCCTGATATCAGAAGGAGGGAACAAAGACCTGAAACTCAAAAAGGATTGTGATGAGGTGTTCCTTATACAAGAAGAAACGAGGCTGAAAACCCCAGAGATCCAGAACTACGCCGCAAATAAAGAATTCTGGAGGATTTCTTCCCCAGCATAGAGGGGGCTGGAGGCTCTGGAAAGGCAGCTGTAGTTTGTTGAGTGCTTTTTCAATAGTGTGGGAAGCGATGATTCTGCAAAGAGCATCTCATCTCATCCCCACAACCCTCTGTGAAGTAAGTATCGCAAGTCTCATTTTATAGATGAGCAAGTTGAGGCTGAGATAGGTTAACTTTCTGGAGTCACACGGAATGTGGAAGAGCTGGATTTAGTCTCAGGTCTGCCTAGCTACTGAACTGTTGCCCTTCCCCCCATGCTATATTAGCAAATGCTGAAGTGAACTTACCATGAGGAGTGACAGGTATCTAAACCGATGAGTAGAAATAGGTGCTTCAAGTGGAGAAGGAGTTAATAAGAGGCATCTGGCACCCTCACGTCATCTTATACCAGGGGACTCAACATAGGTAGAGATCCTGTGCTGAGTCAGCCGGTGTTCCCCAAAACAGGTGGGAGCCATGCCTCAGTGGGCCTGATCGCCTTGGCAGTACTGACGTGCCTGGTGTCCCTCCTTGCGCTCATCATAGGCCTAACCTGGTTTAAGAAGCGCCGGTAAGTCTCCCCCTTCCTCAGCCTCTCTGTCCCCCATTCCTGTCTCTCCTTTTCCTTAATGGTCTCCCTCTCTCTCTATTTATGTTCTCTCACAGTTCCTATCAAGACATCCTGTGACTCTGCTCACCACATTTACCTCTCTGGAACTCAGGACCTCAAGTTCCCAGGACTTCAGCCCTGGTCTGCTCAGGAATTGAGAATGGAGGGAGAGAAACCTGCAAGATGTAGTGAGCAGTCATCAGGCAGCTCTTATCACACCCCTTTAGTGTTTCTGTGAAATAATTTAAGTTCCTTTTCATTATACTGCAAGTTTATTAGCCCAAATGGTTCTGTAAAGATGGGAGTGCAAACTCAGGTGTCTGCCAGCACAAGCAGGTGATGGCTGAGGTGTCAGTTCTCGTGACGGAATCTGCAGTGAACTGGAAAGCACATGTCCTGTTCAAAGGAGGCAGCTGCAGCCGTTGTCAAGTATGAAGTTGGGTTCTGGCTTTGCTTTATCCGACATTTTTTCAAGAAAACTGGAAATCTGGATTTTTACATGAACATGCCTGATTATAAATGTTGATATCCCCAAAACACCCCTGCTGGCCAATGACAACCCTGGAGCTTATGGTTTGTGTCTCTTATAAAAAGTTTGCCCTGAATGACATATTGGCAGTTTTTGGACCCAGTTTTGTTTTGTTTTTTTTTTTTTTGAGTGGGAGTCTCATTCTGTCACCCAGGTTGGAGGGCAGTGGCACATTCCCGGCCACCGCAGCCTCAACTTGCTGGGCTAAGGCAATTCTTCTACCTCAGCCTTCCAAGTAGCTGCAACTACAGGTACGTGCCACCATGCCCGGCTAATTATTTTTTTTGAGTTGGAGTCTTACTTCGTTGCCCAGACTGGAATGCAGTGGCACGCTCCTGGCCACTGCAGCCTCGACCTGCTGGGCTCCAGCAATCCTTCCACCTCAGCCTTCCAAGTAGCCGGAACTACAGGTGCGCGCTACCACGCCCAGCTAATTTTTTGATTTATTGTAGAGATGACGTCTCGCCAAGTTGCCCAGGCAGGTCTCGAACCCACAGGCTCAGGCAATTCACTCACCTCGGCCTCCCAAGGCCCGGGATTACAGGCTGAGCCATCCAGCCCGGCTCCCGGCTAATTTTTTTTTTTTTTAATTTATTGTAGAGATGAGGTCTTGCCAAGTTACCCAGGCTGGTCTTGAACCCGCGGGCTCAGCAGTCCTCTCAACTCGGCCTCCCAAAGTGCTGGGATTACAGTTTTTATTGTGAATTTGGATTTGCCACTGAAGAAGGACATCTTCTCTTAAAAAAAAAAAGTTAAGTAAGACACAGACATGCCAAGCTTTTACTTGGTAGAACTTTAATAAATGAAGAGAAATCATAGTGTATTTGCATTATGTTGAAAAAAGCGATTCCGAAAGGGGATATTTCTCCCAAATCGTCAGGTTTTTTTTTAGTTGGAAGAAGGCAGTTGTGGAGGTATCCCCCTCTTTCACAAACAACAACAGCAGTCTCTCCTACTTAGGTCTATCAAAAGAGACAGTGTATGGGCAGGGCTGAGTACCCCTGGGCAGGCATGAGCTGTAAGTGAGGATGTGTTCTACTCTTGCCATACAGATAACAGAGCAGGAAAGTTTTATGGAAACAGCAGCCCTTCCTGAAGTCAAGGAATTAAGAAGGCCAAATTAAAATCATCTGTTTACCTTACTGGGAAGGAATCTGTTGGCAGTCAGGGCCCCTGAACATTCAGTGAGAATTAACTGTTGGTGAATCTTTGCTGGAGAAGATTAGCTTTTGGCATTCTCTATGCTGGGCTTGTAGGTCTCAAACTAAACACGGTGGAAGATCCTGCTAGCTTCTAAATCAGTAGCTCCCAAAGTGGCCTGAGCAGCAGCCTTATTAGAGCTCATTAGAAATGCAAATGATGAGAAACGCAGGGAGTTGACCCAGTAATCAAGCCCCTGGGGTTCTGATGCTCAGCTAAAGTTAGAGAACTACTTAGACGTTGTATAATGTTGTATAATGTTATGCGATACATTTCTCAAAGTGCCAAGTGATAAGGAGATTGGCCTGTGGATAGTTAGGAAGGGCTTCCTGGTAGTGGAGCTGGGTGGGAATTTGAAGCAGGGTTTTGGAAAAGAGAGGCATTGAGGTGATCTGGAAAGTGCACAGGATCAGAAGATTGGTGTTCTAGCCTCTGACTCGGTTTCCTCTCGTGCCATATGAGGATAACGTCTGTCTTGATTATCTCACAAAGTTGTGGGGATCAAGTGTGTGAAATGTGTGGCAAGCTTCAATGCCTGAAACATGTGGTGTACATTACTGTTTTTGGTAGCACACTGCCTCCAGGCGGTGCTCAGAATCGTATTGTTTACAAAGGGGGATAACTTACCTTTTTCATTTGCTATTTGGATGCCTCTCATTTCCTTCTTCTGTCTGATTGCTCTGGATAGGACTTCCAGAACTATATTGAACAGGAGGGGTGAGAGTGGGTATTCTTGTCTCATTCTACTTCTTAGGGGGAATGCTCTCAGCGTCTGCTGATTAAGTGTGATGTTGGTGGCTTTTGCCCCCTCCCTACCTTGTGGAGGTGAATCGCTTTATTTACTCTCTCCTCTCTCTAATTTACTTCCTAATTAAACTATATTTTATAACCTAAAAAAAAAAGTATGATGTTGGTTACAGGTTTGTCACAGACGGCTATTACTGTTTTCAGGAATGTTCTTTCAATGCTTAAGTGCTGGAAGGTTTTTATCAAAAAGGGATGCTGGATTTTATAGAATGCTTTTTCTGTGTCTAATTAGATAATCATGTGGTTTTTGTTTTCACACCTGTTAACAAGCCAAATTACCTTTATAGACTTGTGAATGTTGAATCAGCCCTGCATCCTGGGATTGAAGCCCACCTGGTCATGGTGAATGATCCCTGAGATGTGTGGTTGGACATGATGCTAGAATCTTGTTGAGAATTATTGCATCTTATGTTCATCAGGGGAATTGGCCTGTAATTCTCTTTCCTTGTTGGTCCTTTGCCAGTTTTGGGTATCAGGTTGATATTAGCTTCCAGACTCCTGGAATTAAATTTTAGTCTCCTGGAATGATACACCTGTTGGAAACATTAAAGTGATGCTGAGCAGGGTAGTTAGGTTTTTGTTTTCCTAGAAGCAGATGATATTCTAGATATGGAAATTTTCCCCAAGTTCACTTATCAAGACTTCTCTGCCATTATTCATTATGAAAGCCATGTCTGCCCCCATTTCTGTTATCCTAGTCCCATCTCTTTCCTTAAAGGAAAATCCATGGGCCCATAATATGTAGATGGCTTTATTTAGCAAAGGCTTATGCACTAGCAAGAAACCAGCACAAGTTTGGACTTGTGGGTGAATGTCCGCAAATCAGAAAACAGCTCCACTAATGTCAATGCCTCTCTGTGTACCCAGTGAGAGTAACCCTGAAACCTCAAAGAAAGAGTGGAGAGCTGTCCTTGATATCCTAGACATCATTGCTACTCACTTTCCTATACTCACTGGAAAAGATGTCCTAACCTTTCCAAATATTAAGCTGATCTATCCAAGTGATGTCCACTGATGGTATATTGTGCCTCCAGGAACCTCAAACTGAAGACTTAGGGACTATCTATGCAGGTAGGTGTAATTGCTTGTAGGATGTCACTGTATTAAATCCATAGGCTGTCTTTCCACTAAATTGAGGTTATGCACCCTTACATCATGCATCTTACATCAGGGACCACAAAAAGTCAGTTTCCCACTGGACCTTTTTTTCAGAAGCTATGCCAATTTATGGGCACATGGATTTAGCTGACCCACTTTTCTAGCCTCCAAGAGCCGATATTAGGGCTGCAGAGAATTTGTTTACTCTGTTCTGCTTCCTTGCTGGTTCAGAGCTTGCTATTCGACATTAATCACTCCTGCCTTTTGAATAGCTTTGCCTGAAAGTTCCCATGATACTGCCTGTAATCAAGTCAAAGAGGTCAATAACTGAAATTAGCACCAACCTCAAAATAGAAAAACATAACTTAGTTTCCGTAAGAAGTATTCCAGCAATGTTTCTGAGGGCTCACTCTTGGTGGTATTGGGGTGCTAGTTGAATGGAAATTACTACTAATCTGTAAATGGGGAAAATCTGGAATCTGCAGCCAATCAGACCTCCATGTCAAGGACACTCTCCAAAAGGTAGATTAAAACGTGCATGTTTAACAAAACACCCAAGGTGACATCTCACAGCCTTAGACCTCCTCTTTGCCCATGGTTGGGGATTGTGTATGGCGCTGAACAACACTAAATATTGCACTTATTTTCCCCCTGATTTTACTGCTATAGAAAGCTTAATTTAAATGGTAGCTGTTACTGCTGTTTCTCTACATGCTGCCATTGAATAATTCAAGAAAATTTTTCAGGGAAAGATACATGATGTGTTTACAGGAGCAGCTAATAGTTGGTTCACTGGCACCCTGAAGGGTGGATGGCACACTTGACTATTACAAGGTTTTATAACCTTCATGTTTCTTTCAGTTGTATTTGTATTATTATTACTGGTATTACCAGGCAAACTGCAAAAATGGATAACTTTCAGCCAGGCAGGCCATTTTACAGCAAACTATGGTCATTGTGCTCCGAACAGAGACTTTGACCAATTGGACTTGAATACTGTTGTACTATCTTTAGTGCCTAAACTTTGAATTGTTTGATTTTGATCAATTTGGTTTCTGTAAAATATGTGGCAAGCTTCAATACCTCAAAAAATGTGGAATGTGTTACTGTTTTTGTTAAGCAGTGTACTTGTTTCTTAGTATTATCCTCTTGCTTGTCATCATTATAATCCCTCTGATGTATTGAATCCCCCAAGAATCTTAACTTCACGGCTGGGTTCGGTGGCTCAGCCTGTAATTCCAGCACTTTGGGAGGCCGAGGCAAGTGGATTGTCTGAGCCCGCAGTTCAAGACCAGCTTGGGCAACTTGGCGAGACCTCATTTCTGCAATAAATAAAAAATTAGCTGGGTGTGGTAGTACACGCCTGTAGTTCTGACTACTTGGAAAACTGAGGTGGAGGGATCGCCAGAGCCCAGCAGGTTGACCCTGGGGTGACCGTGAGTGGGTCACAAGTAACCAAGTCACAGCCAATCAGAGCAGCTGAGCTTTTAGCCCATCACAAGCTGCAAACTGCTCAAATATGTTCAAATAAGGCAAAAGCAGAGCTTTAGCCAATTAGGCTATTTCTGTGTATCCCTTTTCTGTCTATATATACCGTCTGCTCATGTTGATGAGTGGAGCTCTGAACCTTTTCTGGTTCAGGGTGCTGTTCACTTCATGGCTTGTTTCTTTGCTCCAATAAACTCTGCTAATTTTTTTTGTATTTTATTTTAAAGATGTGTAGTACAATTCAGGATGAGGTATACTAATGGTCATCGTACAGGTAAAGTTTGGGCCTCCCTTTGGTCCCCACTTTGCCTGGTTTGAGATCAGGTACCCTTACTTATGTTGTGTCCCCTCGCCTCACTCACCCTGGCAGGACGCTGCTACTGCCAATCCCTTTCTTATAGTATTATGGTAAATGTTCAGGGTCTGCTTATGAGTGAAAACACGTGATACTCTGTTCTTTGTTTCTGTGATAGATCACTGAGT